TGAGCCCTGATCACCTTATCCGAGTCTTCCTGTTACAATCAGATAAGGCACAAAGGAGAGGCCCGGGAGAAATGTCTAGTTTGAGTGAAGTAAACAAAATTGGGAAGGCGACCTCTTGAGGGTCGTCTCGCTCCTATTGTGAAATGACCAAAAAGTTGGCAAAAAGGAAATTCCAATCTGATGGCTCTACTTTGAAACCAAATAGGAATTCCAAGTCTTATTGGAATTCCTATTGGTGTCAGAGTTCCAATGATATGAGTTTCTTTTGTGGTCGTCAACAGCTGGCCGCCTCCTTGATGGGCCCCCCTCATGAGGAAGGGAGAGGGGTTGGGTGCCAAAAAGGAAAATACATGGGGAAATATAGGGATCCGAGGAAATTCATATCAAGCCTCCCTTCCTTCCCTCCACCCACCAGAGAAATTGATTAAAATATTAATTTTATTTAAGCATGAGTCCATAGTACATATTGGGAAGTTCGGATATGAAAAGGAGTTCATTGGAGCCAAAAATAAATTGAGGAAAGTCCAAAAAGTCATGGAAAGGTGTTTGATTATCTTCACTGAGCCAAATAATGGATTTCTGCAATGCCAGGATCGAGTTGGTCTTTTTGGTCCTTGGGAAACTATCACTCCCTCCAAGGACTGGGGCCCCAAGGTTAGGCTCTTCCCCGAAAGCCTCATGGGGTCCTTGTTGTTGCTAGTGTCTTGGCAAATTGACCAAAACTTAACCCCTTTGTGCAGTCTGGTACCCTTGCCCTTTGCAGAACTATAAGTTACCATCCCTTATTTTGGGGGGGGGGGACTTGCTCGACTTCAATCTGACAGAAAAGAAATTGTGTCTGCAACAATTTTTGGAGAAATAGAATGAGTATAACAGATTAAGCATGGCTTTATACTAATACTAGTTTGGATACCCGGCAGTACCCAGTTTATTTGGAAAAAGGCATGTATTTGGGGTGCTAGGTAATAATATAATTTAGTAAATTAATAACTCTATTTATTAGGGGAAAAACAGTCTTTGATTTTGTTTTTTATGAATGCTCCCATTAAAAAACATACATAACAGTGTGGGTGAACTACCATTCCCAGAATTGTGGATCAGTCTTCCCCAAACCAGACCTGTACGCACAGTTCACCATGTTGTGTGTGTGTGCCAAGTTTGGTCCAGATCTGTTGTCATCTGGGTTCAGTGCTTTCTGGATAATGGTGAACTACAACCCCCACCATCAAGGTCCATTTCCCTAAACCTCTGCAGTACGTTCAGTTGGTCATGGGGCATTGTCGGTGGAAGTCACAGTTTCTCTGGATGCAGGTGAACTATAACTCCCATGAAGGTGAATTTCCCTGAAACATCTCCAGTATGTTCTATTGGTCATGGGGAGTCTGTGTGCCAACTGTGGTCCAGGTCCGCAATTTGTGGGGGTTGCAGTAGTCTGTGGGAGGCGAATTGGGTGAAGGTACTGCATATCCCATCGTCTGTGGTCCATCCTCCCCATCCTCCCCCAAACCACACCAGGACGTATAATGGACTCGGGGGGGGGGGGGGGGTCTGTGTGTCAAATTTGGTCCAGGTCTGTCATTTATGGGGGTTGCAGTGGTCTTTGTAACTGAGTGAAGGTAATGCAAATCCCATCATCTGTGGCAAGTGTGGTCCAGATCCATCATTGGTTGGGTTCACAGTACTCTCTGGATGTTGGCGAACTACACCTCCTCTAAATCATGGTGTATTTTTCCCAAACCTCTTGTTTAGTTGCCGATCAATTCCTGTGTGCCATAGGAATAGGTAGAAAAGGGTTAAGTGAGAGGCAGTGGGTGGGGTCATGCAAATTTGGAGAGAGAAAGAAACCCTGGGATGTCAATTCTGGAGAAAACCAGAACATCTAGGATGAAATGGTCCCCGAATGAAAGCATTCCTTGGGTGGTGGACAGTACGGGCAAGGTAAACAGCTGCCTCCGGAACAATTGTGTAGGAACCTATCCCTGGACTTTCCGTGTTATTTTGATCTCTGGTACCAAAGTTTTCATTAGAAAATGAAGCCTTATAGCACATCTGCTTTATTAAGTTTGGCCCCTTCCACACAGCTGAATAAAATCCCACATTATCTGCTTGCTTTTTTGTCTGTTGGATTTTCTGTCACATATGTAAGCCGCCCTGATTCCCTTCATGGAGATGGTAGCGGGGTATAAGAATAAAGGAGGCATTATTATTATTATTATTATTATTATTATTATTATTATTATTATTTGAAACACAAAATATTAGTACACAGCAAACAAGATCACTCTGCTGGCTGTTGTATGATCCAATACAACAGCCAGCAGAGTGATCTTGTTTGCTGTGGATCACATGTCGGACACTTCCCAAGTGTCTAGAACTGTGTGATGTATCAGCGAATAATGCATGTAGATCCAAGTAGGGTGGCCTTTTGCAGTTGACATATGGTAATTTTGTCAGCGCCAATTGTGTTTAAGTGCAAGCGAAGATCTTTGGGCACTGCATCCAGTGTGCCGATCACCACCGGGACCACCTTGAATGGCTTGTGCCAGAGTCTTTGCAGTTTGATCTTTAAATCCTCGTATTGTGTCAGGTTTTCCAGTTGTTTCTCTTCAATCCTGCTGTCGTCTGGGATTGCAACATTGATGATCCACAGGCATGTAGCCGGGGGGGGGGGGGGGGCTTGGGGGCTTCAGCCCCCCCCCCCCCCAAATTCTCATGGTGGTCTGCGAAAAGGCCTTACTGGTACATTATTTAAACTGTTATGTTTATTCATATCATGATCTGATCACCATACTCAATATATCCCATATGCATGGGGGTATTGGGGTAATGATACAAAAGGTTTGCTAGGCTAGACCCTCTTTCACTCAGACTCAGCCCCCCCCAAACTCAGCCTCCCCCCCCGAAAAAAATTCAGCCCCCCCCCCCAAACGAAATCCTGGCTACGGGCCTGACGATCCATATTTTGTTTTTTAACACGATCGTGAAGTCAGGAGTATTGTGCTCCAAAACTCTTGTCAGTCTGAATTCGGAAGTCTCAGAATAGTTTGACATGTTCATTTTCTGTAACTTTTTCCGGCTTCTGATCCCACCAGTTCTTTGTCGCAGGCAGATGGTATTTGTGGCACAAGTTCCAATGAATCATCTGAGCAACGGTGTTATGCCTCTGCTTGTAGTCTGTCTGCACGATCTTCTTGCAGCAGCTGAGGACGTGATCCATCGTTTTGTCTGCTTCCTTGCAGAATCTACACTTGGGATCTGTCATTGACTTTTCAATTTCGGTTTTGATGGCATCATCGTCGTCATCATCGTCATTATTATTATTATTATTATTATTTTACTGACACAAAAGCACAGTATGTCACAGCAAACGAGATCTATATGCTGGATTTCGTATCACAAAATCACAAGTTGAACACTTCCCAAGCGTCTAGGACTGTGATGTATTTTCGAATTGTTATTATATGGCAGTGTGGACTCAGATAACTCAGTTCAAAGCATATATTGTGGATTATCAGCCTTGATATTCTGGGTTATATGGCTGTGTGGAAGAGCCATTAGACATACATGTAACAGGATCCAGAAGAATACAAATAATTACTTTCGCCCTAAATCCTAATATCCCTTAAGTGGCAAGGCTGGAAGAATCTGGTACAGACATCCAAGGATTGTTTAACATAGAGTAGCCAGGGACCTTGTCTGGGAACACCCAGGGACTGTAGAAGGCTGCAAACTACCAAACTATGCTTGAAAGATTTGAAGTGCCCCTCACCGAAAGCCTCTTTTACTATATCATCTGTAAAACAAATCAAAAGTCATAGTGGCAAGCCATAAAAGCTATTTTCTTCCAGAGTTTATATCTGTTTTCTAATGTTTGGAAGCACAACGTAGGCTGCTTGCAATTGGAAGTGACCATGATGTTATATTTAGGACACCAAAATTATGTTGATTATTACCTTTTCAGGGAGGTGGGGAGAGTTGGTTTGTCAGCTACTCAATACAAATGTTTCACCTCTTTCAAGCTGTGGGTGTTTCAATATTGTGGAATACCCTTCATTCTACTGTCACAAATATTACTGTGGATATGGGGCATTCTGATCCACTGACTTACACTGGACTTCCCATGGGGTCAGTAAATAGTCTAGAACAGGGGTCCTCAAACTAAGGCCCGGGGGCCGGATACGGCCCTCCAAGGTTATTTACCCGGCCCTCACTCAGGGTCAGCCTAAGTCTGAAACAACTTGAAAGCACACAACAACAACAACAACAATCCTATCTCATCAGCCAAAAGCAGGCCCACACTTCCCATTGAAATACTAATAAGTTTATATTTCTTAAAACTGTTCTTCATTTTAATTATTGTATTGTTTTTAAGTGGTTTTTGCACTACAAATAAGATATGTGCAGTGCGCATAGGAATTCATTTATTTGTTTTTTAAATTATAGTTTGAGAGACTGTGGCCTGGCCCTCTGTTTAAAAAGTTTGTGGACCCCAGGTCTAGAGGTTGGTCACTGCAACTACCTTGCTAATTCAAATAGGAGCCTGTAGGAACCCTATAGACCAATGGTTCCAGTCATTAAGTCCCCGAGATGTTGGATTTCAGTTCCCAAAAGCCCTGGTGAGCATGGCCAGGCTGATTCTGGGAGTTACAATTCAACATTTGGTGATTCAAGATAGGGAAGCAGTGCTATAGATAGTGCCCTGCATGATTAAAGATCAGGCATTGATAAATGTTGCCCCTCTAGGTGTTTTGGATTTTAACTCCCAGAAATCCCAGCCAGTTTACCAGCTGTTAGGAATTGTGGGAGTTGAAGTCCAAAACACTTGGAAGGCTGAAGTTTGCCATGCCTGAAGATATCTCTCTGTGTGACTAATGTATATGACACAACCCACAGAATGTTCTTCTGAATCAGCCTTACCCTTTTCAAACAATGTCGTAGAAGTGTGATAGATGTGTAAACATAAACATGTTCTGAAAAAAAGCAACTCTTTAATTTTTCAGTGAAGGAAACCTGGCCACAAAGCAAGTCGTTTTCCTTCAAAGGCCTGTCATGTGGAGCCCAGCTGCTCAGACACCTGAGGTAAGAACCATCATCTTGTAACTATGGGCACATACACACAAACATCCAGCCAAGTATGGAAACATGCAAATTGCTGCGCCATTGGTTTATTAATGATTGCGTAGAGCTGTCTGAAAAAGTGCATTCATAGCAAAAGCTAGGTGGGATCCGGAGATGGCTGAGTGAGGCTGGATCTACACTGCCATATAATCCAGATAATCAAAACAGATAATCCACATCTGCTTTGAACTGGATTATATAAGTCTACAGTGCCATATAATCTAGTTCAAAGCAGATAATCTGGATTTTATATGGCAGTGTAGAAGGTGTGATGTTTGTTGTAGCCTTGTCTGACAAGAACCTTTTCAAACACTGCCTCCAGTATAAATACACTACAGCTGTATTCATAAGGGGCTTTGAACTAGATTATATGGCAGTGCAGACTCATATAATCCAGTTCAAAGCAGAGAATGTGGATTATATATGGCAGTGTGATGTTCATTGTAGATTTGTTGGTGGATAGACTCACAACAGTCCAGTATCCTGTAAGGTAGTCGTATCATACATAGGTTACCGCCTAATCCTTCTCTGACAAGTATAAACATTTCCTCCAGTATAAATACACTGCAGCTGAATTCACAAGGGATTTTAAACTAGATTATATGTAGTTCATATAATCCAGTTCAAAGCAGAGAATGTGGATTATCTGCCTTGATAATATAAAAAATCATTTATATCATTGTACTCATGCTTTTAATACTTGTATAAAATGTATTTGTTTTGATAGATTAGTTAGTTTATAGGGGACTCAAGGTGGATCACAGAACAATACATAGCAAACATTCAACAGATAGAGGTATTATGTCGGCATTTTCCCCAACTTCGGCGTCCTGGAGGTTGTTTTCGATTCCGGCCACAGGGGGTGCTGTCGCTCCACAAAGAGTCCTTGGTCACAGACTTCCTCCTTCCTTTGATTTCCAGCATTTTCTGGTATTTCCTTTATGCTGCCGTAAAATACCTCCCTTCTTAAGCTGTGCCTAATTTCTCTACTCACAGCTGTTTTCAAATTGCTTAGGTAGATAGTAAGCTGGGCTGAAGGTCGGGTGCTCACCCCAACCCGGGCTTTGAACTGCCAAGCTTTTGATAGGTTACCTCCCAAGTCTTGTATGACAAGCACCTTTTCAAACACTGCCTCCAGTATAAATACCCTGCAGCTGTATTCACAAGTGGCTGCGTCTTAAAGGGACCTTACACCACAGAAGAGGCCTGAAACTTTACAACAGAGTTTTTCTTAGTCCCCTCTCTCTCCCATTTCAGCAAATGTCCCCCCAAAGTCACTCCTGAGAACTAAGGGACCTTCTCAAATGTTTTATGATGGAGCAAAATGAATGACACTTGGAGAGTGAAATGATGAATTCTGCAGTGCAGCTTTGTACAAGTAGAAGTTTATTTTGGCACATACAAGGGGCCTCTGTATCCACGTTAAGAGTGTTTGGTTCAGCTAGCTTTGGCTGACTTGGGTATCTTTTCTCCTGTTTTCTTCTATGGCCTAAAATATTTCGGGCAAAGCGCTCTTTTGTTTGTTCCTCGCTGCTTTCCCCCAAAACATTTTAGTTGGATGCTCTGCAAAACCACTGGAAAAAATGTGGACGTATCCCTGCAGTCCAAGGCAACTGGACAAATTCTGTCTGTCTCTGGCTGGGAAAGAAAGGACTTCATTATCACCGCAGCAGCAGACATCTCCCTCCCCTCCCTTTCTCCACAATAAGGAGCATATTGTGTGGAGTTATGCAACTGCTAGGATGCGCTATCAGACTATTAAGCCGTTTCTTCGCAGGATGACAAAGACATTAAAAATGAAAGGCTCAGAAAAGCTGTGTGCAGTTGCTGACCTCAGATGATCCTTGGGCCAGCTGAGGGATTTCCCTGGCATTATGATCTGAGCAAAAAACCACTCTGACCATTATGCAGCTGCTTGAGATGGGTGCGGTGACATGGGAGCAATGACTGCCTCTGCTTTGTTAACACCGTCCTTTCCAGGGTGCCTTGATAAGCTTTGCAAAGTGATATAGAAGCAATGTCTGCCTCCATAGTCTACAGCAGCATTTCTCAACCTGGGGTCAGGACCCCGGGGGGGGTCACGAGGGGGTGTCAGAGGGGTCACCAAAGACCATCAGAAAACACAATTACTTTCTGTCGGTCATGTGGGTCCTGTGTGGGAAGTTTGGCCCAGTTCTGTCAGTGGGATTCAGAATGCTCTTTGATTGTAGGCAAACTATAAATCCCAGCAATTACAACGCCAAAGTTCAAGGTCTATTTCCCCCAAACTCCACCAGTGTTCACATTTGTGCCAGATCTATCATTGTTTGAGTCCACAGTGCTCTCTGGATGTAGGTGAACTACAACTCCCAAACTCAAGGTCAGTGCTCACCAAACCCTTCCAGTATTTTCTGTTGGCCATGGGAGTTCTGTGTGCCAAGTTTATTTCAATTCCAATGTTGATGAAGTTCAGAATGCTCTTTGGTTGTAGGTGAACTATAAATCCCAGCAATTACAACTCCAAAGGTCAAGGTCTATTTCCCCCAAACCCCACCAGTGTTCGCATTTGGGCCAGATCTATCATTGTTTGAGTCCACAGTGCTCTCTGGATGTAGGTGAACTACAACTCCCAAACTCAAGGTCAGTGCTCACCAAACCCTTCCAGTATTTTCTGTTGGTCATGGGAGTTCTGTGTGCCAAGTTTGGTTCATTTCCATTGTTGATGAAGTTCAGAATGCTCTTTGGTTGTAGGTGAACTATAAATCCAAGCAATTACAACTCCCAAATGCCAAGGTCTATTTCTCCCAAACTCCATCAGTGTTCACATTTGGACATATTGAGTATTTGTGCCAAGTTTGGTCCTGATCCATCCTTGTTTGAGTCCACAGTACTCTCTGGATGTAGATGAACTACAACTCCAAAACTCAAGGTCAATGCCCACCAAATCCTTACAGTTTTTTTCTGTTGGCTATTGAAGTTCTGAGTGCTAAGTTTGGTTCAATTCCATTGTTGGTGGAGTTCAGAATGTTCTTTGATTGTAGGTGAACTATAAATCCCAGCAATTACATCTCCCAAATGACAAAAGCAATCCCCCCCAACCCCACTAGTATTCAGACTCGGGTGTATTGGGTATTTGTGCCAAATTTGGTTCAGTCAATGAAAATACACCAGATATTTACATTACAATTGATAACAGTAGCAAAACATACAGTTATGAAGTAGCAACGAAAATAATTTTATGTTTGGGGGGTCACCACAACATAAGGAACTGTATTAAGGGGTCGTGGCATTAGGAAGGTTGAGAAACACTGGTCTACAGGGATCTTTCGTAGAGAACTGTTTTATTAATACTGTCCTTGCAAGCTAGGGGTATGGATCTCGCAAATATCCCCAAATATTTGCCACTTCTCCTTGATGTATTTATTAAGCCGCATGCTGAACTGGTTCTTTGTGGCCTGAGGCCAAAATACTCCCAAAAGCACTGGCACATTCAAAGCTCCACAGAGCTTTTGTGCCATCTTTCCTTTTCTGTTGGCCGGCTGTTATTTAACTGTTGCCCATTTGAAGTCTCAGCAGAGACCGCCCTGTGAGTGTTGGTTCCTGGAGAGGCTGTCATTCAGCATTGCTCCACTGATTCAGAGTAAAGGAACTGAAGAGCAGTTGTCATTATGCCCAATATATTTTAGCCTATTTGAGGGCAATGAGCCTGCTTCCTTCCACCTTCCTGTTGCCCTTTTGTGGGTGGACAAAATAGCTTTTTATTCATTCACACCTTTGGCCTTTAAATTGGATGGCTGTGGAAGGGGTACTTGCTGCTCCTTATGTTTGTGATGCATTTTCATTCTGTGTCAAATCACAGGTTTCTTTCCCTGCATTTTTCTGTTTTTCCCCAGGCCTTCCCATTTCTAATCTCTCTTTAAGATTGCATTTTAGAGACAGTATCTGTGATCCCATTCTAGCCTCAGCTGTTTTTTTTCAAAGGGCTCTTTTGTCCCCTTCCCTGCAAAAATTGAGTGATCTACCAATCCTTTTAAGGCTGTGCCTGTTTTTAAAGGAGACAAAAGTAAGAACCCCAAAACTTATCAGGGCAGATTGTTTGCCGAGCTTCAAAGCAGTGAGCGCAAGAAAGGGGAGAGCACAGCAAAGAGCCTTCTTCATCCTAGACACCAGTCTCCTTCCCAAAAGCCAGTTTGTGGGACGGGGAGGTGGAACAGCTGGCCTATTAGCAGCTGAAGGGATTAGGGTTAGGCCTTCTGGAGGGGGAGGCCACAAAACCCATGCTTCAGTCCACTTGGGGAATCTATAAAGAATCCTACAGCCTTGCTCTAATGTCTGGATTTTGGATGCCTTCTTGCCCGTAAGCTTGTCCGGACAGTTGTCTTTTTAAAATCTTATTTTTATTAGACATTTTCAAAGGGTATGGTGAGGAAAGGAGAAAGGGTAGGGTACTTGTATTAGCGTTAGTAAATTAAATCTTAACAAATATCTAGTAAATCATTGAGGGAGAGGAAAGTGGTATAGAGGGCAAGCGGGGAAAGTATTATATAGCATTTTATTGTTACATCTATTACTCTAAAACTCATTATTCAAAATACTAAAGTTTTGAAAAGTTTGATATATCCTCTATATCAAAGAGAGGAATATTATTAAGTAAAGTAAAGGTTTCCCTTGACATCAAGTCTTGGCATGTCTGACTCTTAGGGCTGGTGCTCATCTCATTTTCTAAGCCGAAGAGCCGGCGTTGTCTGTAGACACCTCCAAGGTCATGTGGCCGGCATGACTGCATGGAGTGCCATTACCTTCCCGCAGAAGAGAAACCTATTGATCTACTCACATTTACATGTTTTCGAACTGCTAGGTTGGCAGAAGCTGGGTCTAACAGCAGGAGCTCACCCCATTCCCTGGATTCGATCCGCCAACCTTTTGGTCAGCAAGTTCAGCAGCTCAGCGATTTAACCCACAGCGCCATTTTAACCCTCATAATCTTATCTTCTTAAATCTTCTTGGCCTTCTGTCTTGTTCCATTTTACTTGCTTTTTCCTTTTTTTTCCCCTTAAAAGTTTCTGGATGTCTTCTTGCCAGTCCAGTCTTTACAAAAGAGATATAAAGAAAACCATCCATACAGTCGAAAGCTTGTATGGATGTTTTTGGGTTTTTTACATCTCTTATCATCTCCATATTTGCTGATGCTTTAGTTGCTTCTTTGCCAGAATTTCAGTGCATGTAGGTGAGGTACATCAACTAGCTGTACTTTCTGGTTGATACCTCCTACACACTGATCCAGGATCTGGAGGTTTTCAGTTACAATAAAAAAAGAGGCTTCAGAAAGCCAAACCGTATGCTTCTGTATCTGTACAAGTCAAACAGATGGGCATAGATGGCCCCACTCTGGCATGTTTGAAGCATTAGGGGATGAGAGAGAGGGCCTTTTCAGGGTACAAATAAAGTGTTGTTGTTGTTGTTGTTGTTGTTATTATTATTATTATTATTAGTCACTTTGGATCCATATGCAGCAGTTTTTGAACTATATCCGTCGACACCTGCCATTTGAGCTGTCCTGAACACCTTTTTGGAAAGAGGTGGGGCCTTAACGAATCGGATTTCCTTAAAATGATCCCTTCAAATGATGGAACTCCTTAAAAAACCATAGTTTTTAGAATAATCTTAACTGGCAGTTATAAATAATATGTCATTATTGGGGCAAAAAGGAGGTGGGATTTAATTGTAAAATTTTGTTGAAATGACCCTAATAAATTTTACGACTCATTTTTTAAAAAAACTGGTTTTATAATAGAGATTTATTTCAAATGACTGCTATAAATAACATGTCATTATTAGGGCAAAAAGGAAACAAATAATAATTCACCTACATAATCAAGAAACACAGGACTCTGATGTTTACAGAAAGAGTAGGATAACCCATAGTACCGTAACTCTAGGGCTTGTATTGCAGTGCAAAATATTTGCTTACTAATAGGGATGTGTATGCATATAGTGCCTTAAAACATGTCCATCAATGACAGTTTAATTCATATTCTTGACTGAGAATGGCCTTAAAGGGTTATTCTGAATACATATTTTTTAGGACAAATTCTCTAGCACAAAAATAGGATTTCAAGCCAAACCTCATCTGATCGGATGCCCTCTCAATCTTTTGAGCCAGAAATGTCATCATCCTCTCCGTGCTGGCTGGGTCTGGTGGGAGTTGTAGTTCAAAACACACAAAGGTCATTAGATTGGCTCTCCTTTAATGAGACATATTTAAAAGACAAGGAATGAGCACGTACCCTTGTGCTAGAATGCAGGTTCAATGCTTGTTGAATCAGTTGTTGATCTCTGTGACAATGTAAGAGTACTGTACAAAGTTATTCCTTGGCAGAGTCCCCCTTCAGCTCACTTACTCAGAATTGAAAGGCTTTTCAGTCTCCTGGGAACTTGGCTCTGTTCTGTGCTGGCCACACATAATTAAGAAGACGAGGAAGAAAAATGGCATGTCAGGTTTGGATCAGAATGTAGCTGCACACAATATACATGAATGTTCTTATTGGTGCAAGAGAGGCCAATGAACCTATAGGATCCGACAGAAAAATCTACAAACCTTCAACTCTTCATGCTTCCCGCTGAACTCCTATCTCATGTTTCATCAAGTCCTTGTCCCTGTGAGCTTGTTCTAATTCAATGTGTCATTTGTATTTCAGAGGAGAACTAACAGACAAGTGAGAGAAGAAAAAGGCAAAGTTTCCAACAGAAGTGTTGGATTAGACACTGCTACTTCACCACCTGCACAAAACCTACACTCTACAGATGAGTTTCATCTGTCACCGCCTACACAGTGCTGGGATAAGGATGGATCGGCCCAATATGGAAGCTTCCCTGGATTCAGCAGGAGCGATGACATGCTGAAGGAACTGGATGATGGGCAGTTTGACCAAGAAGATGGAGTCACTCAGGTCACTTGCATGTGACCAGGCACTGGATTAGAGGGACCTGTATATATTATTTCCAAAATGTAAAAAATAGATTCACTTTTTATATGCATTGGCAGTTTAGGAAAAGCTTGTACTTCTCCTTTACCAACTCAGCATTTACACTCCTAGTGAGACTCCATTTACGTAGTGCCTAACAAAGAGTTTGCAATTTTATTGTTCCTAGGACAGGGCTATGAGCCACTGATGATGATCTCAGCAGGCATCCTTAACAACTGGACAGGAAATAACTGCAGATGGGGTGTTGGCTTCTGCTCTCCTGACAAACATAACACTTGCTCCAAAGTATGGAAATGAAATACAGTAGTGTTTTTCATGGGTTATTTTTAATTTCCTACGGTTTAAGAACAAATAAAAGTTGTACATAAAGAATTAGGCATCTTGCTCAGGTCTCTAGTTTAAACTCACACCTTGCTTTTAGTCCAGAACTCAATAATATAAAATTGGTACTTAAAAGCCATAGGCCATTTAACTGTTAGGCCACATTCTCTGTCTTTGGGTCTAAAGAGCATAAGCAAATTTCAGCCTGTACCTTAAATTCACTTTCTGTGAATCGTATGGACTTGTCTGAGACTTCAAGTTACTCAAAATGTCAACTGTAAACTTGTATATCATGTACAGATTTCTTTTAAAAATGCAAAAGGTTTCAGCTGATATGGGGATAATTCTTGAGATCAGGGTAACCACACAAGGAATGTAACCTATGTGATATATTTTGTCAGTGCAAATGGTACTTGCAGAGAAGAGTGCTTCAACACCACAGAAAAAGCTACATCTCTTAATGAATGCTCCAGTTCATTGTCAACCCTCTCTCTATTTAATGGTATTTGCATTTTTTAAAAATGTCACTGCATATTAGCATGTAATATGATAGCTCTGTCTCAGGTCAGGCTATTGGCCTCTTCAAGCTTACTATTATTAGTTCAGTTGGTCTCACATGTTTCAAAAACCCTCACGTTCCTACTATTCTTGACCATGGAAACTGGCTACAGCTCTGCCATCTGATGTTTGGTGTCAACAGCACCTCTGCTGATTTAAGGAGGAAAGCATAATCAAGGTTTCCATAGCTGCTACTATTAAGATGTGTTTTCTAGAACCATTCCGCATCAATGTTTTATAACTGAGCATGCTATATTTTGATATACACACACTTTATATAGGAAGAAATATTTGCATGTATTTCTTCCTATACAAGGGCAAATCCCACTGTGTTCAAGGAAATTATTCCCAAATAAGATTACATTTTAGTTCACGACCTGATACTTAAAAACTTACAAATAAAAAAGAAACAAAGAGAATGGCAAAACTATACTCACTCTATGTTTGTATTAGTCAAAGGCCTTAAAACACCTAAATTGTTGGACAGTTATAAAACTAACAAGAACATCAAAAACAGATTAAAAAATGGCTCAAAATGCACATTTGAGTACTGTTGTATTTAAATCTAAAGAGTGATGAAAAGCTTAATACTTCTGTTTGTTTGTTTTCAGTTTGCAATACGGTTGGCCCTTCATATCAACCAGTTGAAAATAATTTTGAAAATCCAAAAACAATCAGACTTGATTGGCCATTCTCCAAGCTCTATGCTGATGCACAGGCATACCTTGCCTGTCATTTCTCAGATATTTTGGCTCTTGGTGTGTAGTCTTCTTTATACTGTACTGAATATGGAAGATAAGCCAGAATATAGAATGGATAAAGTATGAAATATCAGAAAACCTTTTTTGTTGTTTAATGGCCGTGCATAGCCTTAATTAGGAATAAATTATTTGGAAATCCAGATTAATTTTCTTCAACCCCCTCCCCTCCCCAATTGAGTAGGAAGACTATTTTGGCAAGCTTGTACTTCAATAAAGTCTTATGAGTGTTCAGATCTCCTACTTTATGATGCACACATCTATCCTGATACCTTTTGTATGATTTTGGGTAGTTAAAGACATTCTTTACATCAAGTAAAACAGCTCATCTTTAATATTCTTCAAATCTGAAGGGTTAAGTGTCCCTCTCTTGGTTAAAGAATTGCAGAGGGAGAACTGATTTGTACCATTTTTTAAAAAAAAAATCCAAAATGAGAACCATTTAGCAAAATAGACTGGTATGGAAAAAGAAAAAGATTTAATTGCAACCTCTACTTTTTACAATGTAATTCAAAGACAAACATAGCTCAGTTTCCCTATAATGCAGAATGCAAGTTAAAACCTTCAATATAGTTACCATACAAAGTCAATAGTTCACTTAATTCTCACCGCAGTTCCATAGTATCAGGCAGGCACATGTGCACACACATTATCAGAGGTACTTGAGTCAACAGCATTAAGGAACATTAGAAGCAGTATCTATTTAGGTTATTAACTTAACTTCTGTCATATAAAGTCAAGTTTACAGTGCAGCATAAATGGAATTATTTAAGAATTATTTATGTTTCAGAGGCCTCTACTAGTACAAAGAAACATGTTAAGATTTTCTTGCAGTCTCAAACACCACACAATTTCACAGAAATGCTATATGACACCATTCATATTCTGACTGAAGCAAGCAGTCAACCTTAACATTGCCAATCCTCAGCCAAAAGCTTTGAGATTTTATTCAGATCGATGTTGCCCAATGTAGGCCTCACTTACATGTAGGCATCACGACATAACTGCTGTTGCTAAAACCCCTCTGATATCATGACCCTGTTAACCTTCAAAACCATTTTAAAATACACAATAAGAAGCAAGAACTGTGTCAACCCATTGAAGAATATCCAGCCCAGTTCTCCAAAGCTGTGCCATAAGCCTTTCAATTACAGCGGGGCTTGTGCCAAAATCCACTGAAGATCCTGTTTCTGTCTTATTTTTGGATTCCCTTTATATCAATCTTGCAAAGAGGTGAGTCAAATTTGCCACGGTTTTGTTTTAATTTTTTTGCAATTAAGGCAGGTCTAATGTGTACTTTGAAATAAAATGATGAATACTAAGTAATAACTTTCAGTTTCATTTCCACTTAAATGAGTAACCGCCAAAATGAAGCAGATTAAATAAAGCTTGCTTGGCCACATAAAGCCAATTTCTGAAGGAAAGGGAGTCCCAGTTTATGTCTTCAACAGGAAAGGACCATACGCCAACTTTCAAAAGTTAAAATCTCATCCAGTTTGATCTAACAACAGTGCTAGTGCTTGTAGATATCTGCATTCACATACATCCAGCATAACAAAGCCTTCCATAGTTGTTTTTTTAAAAAATATTTAGTTCTACAGCATTCAAAATAGTTCAAACTCCATTAATTAGTCCTCGTGGAACCTTAGCTCTAATGCAAACCTGAAAATTCTATTTAACAAACATACATTTAGATTTGGGGAAGTGTGGGTTGTGTTCAATTACTGAAACATAAAAACTGATATTATTTGGATAGAAGAAAGGTAGGAACTAGCTAGTACAGACAGTTAAGATCCAACGGTTCTAGTAAATGGAATCCTTTTGCTACAAGATTATTTTGGCACACTCTGCTGTAGTGTAACATTAATGTTTAATGCGAGGTATAATCTGTAAGCAATTACTATAAATATGCACAAGGTATAAGCCACAGAGTACTTAACTGTAGGCAAGAGGAAATGCACAATGTCTTTATCCATTAGTGAGGAGTACAGATACAAAAAATATGGAGGGGAATCTTTGCCTGGAAGTGACTGAACACATGACCTGTTGTGATACATAAGAAAGCCTCCACTGATACAGAAAGGCAAGTCCAGAAAGAAACAGAGAGCTCCAGAATACATTATGGCAGCATAATAAAAATTATCCTTTTGGTATTAATACAGTAATCATGAATATTTGGATACACACATACTACCATAGTTTACTACATTATATGCGCACACCCAAAAGCAAAACCTGGAGACTCAAATAATGGGGCTTTCTACAAAATATAACAAAAGCTAGAATTAAATGGATTTGCAAGTTTATAAACATAAAGTTCCAACTTCATTAGTACAAGAAGCTTTAGGTTTAAACTGGACAAAGTTTGAAGATTGTGATCCAATGATTGTTTAGCAGCAATTTTACAGAACTGTAAATTCTTTTATTAACAGGCAGTATAAACAGATAATTCTAATTGTATTTAAAAACCATGAGTGCCACATTGAAGAATATACAGCTCATGAATAACTTAAACCATATCCCATATTAAGAGGCAACGCACACAGCATACAAAAAGTATTCTAAACAAAGCTCTAAAGATACATGATTGAAGTTTCTAAAATGGTATATACAGTACATAATGTTAATTATGTGTTCGTTTCAGTCCACGGTACTCATCATGCCTCACTCTCCCCAGAAACTGAATTCTGTACCTCCTCTTCTAAAATCGGTACGATCAGGTTATCCTTGGACATTAAGTTGTATTTCATCACAAACTTGGTAAATCGATGACACAAAAAGGTTTCATTCTAGGATCACAGAATTGAACAGGTTAATAATGCACAATTATTCAAAGTTATTCAGGATCACTTTAAGTTCTAATTATATAGCGCTCTCTATGTAAGAAACAAATTGCAGTACACTATACTGTAGCCCACCAGAATGCCCAATAATTTGCTCTTATGACTCAAAAAAGTACAGTAGGCAAGCATGGATAAGCAGCCCAAAGAACTTTAGTAGAGCTGGGCGTGTCAAAAAATAGTAGCAACGTTTTAGACACAGAATTACATACTGACAGTTAGAGACCTTCTTATCTAAACAATTGCTCATGCCTAAATGCAATTGCTGACCCCAGCTAGTTTGCCAAATAGTAAGTCATTTACTAAATCCCATTTATTCAAAAGGTCAGCTCTAAACTGGGACTGGTAACCAGATTTAGACTTAGTACATTAACACACTGGATGACTTATGCACAAGCTAATGAACAGCCTAGTGAAAATTTATACTATCCCAAGGTAAAGGCATACTTCATCAAACACAGTTAGGGAGAATTTGCTTTCAAACTTCAGGTCCCACTGCCTATCTCAGACCTAGCCTTCATATATCAAGCATGTGATAAAAAGTCATAACTGACTCTTCATATATTCTTGTTGTAATTAGTGTAAAAGAACAGGATCTGGCCGTGTCTCTAAAAATCACTTTACAAGTGGATTTTAGAGGCAAAGCTGAAGATTTATAAAAGCAAAGAATGCTATTCAGACTACGGCAAATTTCAAATTGCTGCCTGTTTTAAGGCTGCCTTGAGTCTCCTCCGAGGTTGAGAAAGGTGGGATATAAATATGGTAAATAACTAAATAAACTGCAATATGATCTCAATTACAATGCCCCATTAACAGAACAATCCCAAACATCTACTCAGAAGTAAAATCCACCCCGTTTAATAACACTATGTAACATGATTTTTGTTCCTGGGTTAAAAATGTCATTTCCTACTTGGTTCTATCATAAAAACATGGAAAAAGTTTATTAAACTGCAAAAACTTTGTTTTTGTGGGACATCCTGCTACACCAGTGGTTCTCAACCTGGGGTCCCCAGATGTTTTTGGCCTTCAACTCCCAGAAATCCTAACAGCTGGTAAACTGGCTGGGATTTCTGGGAGTTGTAGGCCAAAAACATCTGGGGACCCCAGGTTGAGAACCACTGCGCTACATATTCTGCTATAGTTTTTCAGTGAGTATCTCATTAGTCTCTCAACCAATTCAACAGTTTGTAGCAGCCACAAAAACCAAGTTTATGGAGTATAACAACTGCTTTCAAAGTAAGTACCACACAATTAAACAGGAAATAACACTTTCAAACCAGGAACAGTACATTTTTCAAATTTTGTTACATAGTGTAATGCTCAATCTCAAAAGCTGCAGGATAATTTTAGCAGCAAATCCCACTAAATTCAATGAATCTTGGTTCCAGGTAAGAAGTCACAGGACTGTAGCCATAGTATCAGAGTACTTACTTCATATTCATCAAATATTTGACGGTGATGAAAATACGCATGTGAAAATATTCTATAAATCCTACGACAGACCGATCCTAGTTTGGCTACAGACGATTCCTTTATGCTAACTCTGAAAAGACAAAAGGTAAACATTACAGACAGACCTGACTTATTGTTACCGTGTGAAATGTTTATGCATGCACAATAGGAAACATCAGTAATTAATGTTATGTCAAGAATCATTTACAGTGAGAATTGATTCACCACTCTAAGCATTCCTTGAGAACCAAGTACAAATACTGAAAAATCCAAGAAGATTTCACTGGGGGTTTACCTGCTTGGAAAATATTTATTGCTATTCAGAAGACATGCAGCTCCATCCAATGTGTGTCTAGTGTAGTCAATGGCAGGACACTAAAAACAGAAAGCAAGAGTGGTATTAGACTATGAACAGTGGACTGTATATAACAATACTTTTCCTTGTTGACTGACATGGTAGATTTAGCCAAGTAAAATATGAATATTGTATTTCAAATGGCACATCAGTTTCAAGTTCCAGAACAAAAACGGTTTCAAACACGCACAGCTGACTTACACCTAACTTTTAAACAAACATACTTGGAAGCAAGTGTTGTTGATTTCCTAAGAAATATAGATCAATATGAACTAAACTTTCTCTTGTGGCAAAAGAAGCCAAACTTGGACTAGCAATACTCAATATGAATGTAGTTAAATAACAATAGTTTTTAGCAAGATGGACACAACCAATGTTCTAGATCTGTAGAACCAGGGACTGGTGTGTTATCACTGAACGTTCAAAGCTAAATAGTCCTATTGCTTTTCAAAAGTTCTCAGTCACAGTTGCTCAAGTCTCATAAGTCATTTTTACAAATTTACTTTTGATGTTGTTTCAGAGAACCTATACCTAACTGTCTCAGCTCTCTTGCCTTTGGTGTGGTCCGTTTTGACTCACCCCTATGTGTATCTTAATCTATTTTTATGGAGAAGAGATGGGATGGTATTACAATGACTTGAGCAAGGAATGGCCTTACTAGCAGTGTCAAAGACGCAACTTAACTAGCCCATGAAAGTGAATCATAAACACAAGACCACTGACAGCGTTTATCAGACAGACCAAAAGCTCTTTATGAATCGTTCTTAATTATTCCAGGCAAAAACACTAACTTTAATGTCATCAAGTAAAGTCAAGAGAATTCTTCCCAAGCAATGTGGATCTCCAAGATGAGGGTCAAGGATAGCAAACGTTATATTAAACCAAGACTGTCAAATTACTGCTTTGCTACCTTTTTCACAACGCTGCCATGAGATGAAGTAAGAACTCAATTCAAAGGTATGCAATAACTCAGGCAGATGCAATCATGAGTTAAGCCTTATACACATTCTCCAATGTGCATAGGAACTTGCCACTGAACAGAGTCTCTCAGAGACAAGAAATAGAAAGAAGTAGGTAGTAAGGTGTGCTTATTTCTTTCTATACACAATAAATATGTCAAAGTAAAAGTCACAAAGCAATAAGAAGCAAGTAATGTGATATCCCTTTTCCATGTTCCCCTACTTACTTCTTTGGGAGTTTTATGGGCTGCACAAAGAAAAATCCACTGTTCTGTTGCTGTCATTTGTGTGCATGTGTCTGGATGACATTCAGTCTGTTAAAAAAAATGCACAATACGTAACAGTAAGCATAAGAGCAAAAGTAGTCTTCTTCAAATAACTTTCTTTGTCTACTTACCCCTATAGTTAATCAAAAACAAATAGCTGAAAAATATTAAGTTTGTAACAAAGAACAGAATTTATTCTCAATTGTCAAAACATACATATCACAAAAGGTATTACCTGAAGTTTAACTGCCAGTCCATTAAGCTCAAGACAGAACTGCCTAAAATTTTAGAGGAAGAGGTTGTTAGACAAAGACTAAAGATGGTACAAATGCCTACAATTATTTAATACAGGAATAGTCAAAGTAATCAGAATGGTTAATAATAATACAAAAATTCAAAAACTCTTCAATAAAGCATGTCACTATGTTATAGGAAAGCTCACAAGATTTAAGTAACTTGTGTGTTAGTTCTAGGAACCTGTGTAAAATGTATATTCTATGCATGGAGATTACAAACAGTGATAATCCATATCAAGTGTTTCACGAAGCAGGCATGATATTTTAGAAGATTTTACCTCCCATACTTTCTCATGTACATGAGGCATTTATACCGCAGTAACGCATATCCCTGAACATGGCAGCCATTTACACGTAGACTTCAGTGTGTCAGGCCGCAACCTTTCTATCAAGCTGGTGAGATTTAGCAGCAAATCACACCAACAAAATTTGGACAGTAAACCAAACAAATCTTTAAAACAAAAAAAGGTTGGGTTTTTAAATTTTTCTACTTAAATCATGAATTGCAGGCCCGTAGCCAGGATTTCGATTCGGGGGGGGGGGACTGAGTCTGAGTGAAAGAGGGTCTACCCTAGCAAACCTTTTGTATCATTACCCCAATACCCCCATGCATATGGGATATATTGAGCATGGTGATCAGATCATGATATGAATAAACATAACAGTTTAAATAATGTACCAGTAAGGCCTTCTCGCGGACCACCATGAGAATTTCGGGGGGGGGGGGCTGAAGCCCCCAGCCCCCCCCCCCCCCCGGCTACATGCCTGACTCAAATTAGCAATACATAGCACATGGAGGGAGATGTGATTTGCAAACACACCTAGAACAATAGCCTCCCAAAACTTTTACAGCACTAACATGTGTCAACACTCTTGAAGGCCTCTTGTGTTGGCTCTTGAGCTCTGAAATCATCCTTAAGAAAAAAGTTAAAATGGCTTTTAACTTGGGCAATCCTTACTACAATATAGGAAATGAGAGCCAACCATTATCAAAAATCCTAATCCTGAGATTGAGAGAACACTGATTCCAACATTTAGAATTGGAGCGAATATATACCCAAACACATGCAGCTGAGATAAAATATAGTAGTTTCTATATCATCCAACTGTATAATAAATATAATACAGTATGTCATTTAAAATGAACTTCATCAGAGTGACTTTGGTGATGGCAGAAAATACATTTCTACTACCAAGTTTTGATTATTATTTGTGCAGTTTGTAGCATTCAATAAAAACTGTCCAGCCCACCCAGACTTCTCAAACCTTAAAAGAGACTATGAGGAGGAAGGTATCACGACTGCAAGGGAAATGGAAAGAAAAATCTTTACCATCCCATTGAGAGCATACACACGCTCAAATCAAAAATTCAAATGTGGGGCATATTTTGCCTAACATCCCTTCCTCCTTAACAACACATATCCAAATTTCTGGATATGTGTGGACTATTGGGGAGTGCTAGAGTTAAATATGTGCAATTTCCAAATATGTGTTCTTACAAAAATGATTTCTTTCCTCAACATGATAAACATAATAATTTATGATAAATTGCTTGCTTTTTTCAGATCCAGAACATAGTTACCTTAAGTGTTCATATTTCCAAACACCTTCATCCTGTCCTTCTGGAGGTTCAAGAATCTTGTCAATGTTTGAGCAGTCTGCTCTTATGTTTTGTTGGATATACTAGAGAGAAAATGTTTAAACATTAATATTTTATCTGGATAAAAACAACAAATTATCTTCATCACCCCCACTGCTACATTTTGCAGGCTTAGACCAGCAATAAAATTTGCAACCAAAACTTTCTAATGCCATATCTTTAGCCGTTACATTATCGTTCAGTCTCATGCTTGGCTTCCAATACTCCAAAATGGAAAATGACTCTTAATGTGAGTCTCATTCCCCACCCCTGCTAAAGAAAGAATTTTAACTCTGTGATCTGAAGTCAATGACCCTGTAGTCAATGAAACAAATATAAATTTAAAACAGTGTGCAGTGTGGGACACCAATATTTCTCTGATATGATAATTATGGAATATTATACAAGCGGCATACACGCAAGAAGTAAAATATATTTGAATCTCTACTAATACAGACATATCCTAGATATTTCTAATTACTAAATCAATATGTACAAAACAGGAGAACACATGTGAACTTAAATGAAGCGTACCTGTTGAACTGCCAATGTACTGTCCATTTCTTCAAATGATTCATCAGGCCAATTATAAAAATCCTAAGGAAACAGAAACAGTGACTTAAATCAACCAAGCTGAAGGAAAACAAAGCTCTCTTTAAAATATAAATTACTACAAAACTACTTTAGCTCCTTTGTACTAAAAGTTATAGAAGCATCCTGGGCAAGACAATATCATATTCTCTGTCACTTGACAGTTTCCATCCCATTCAAGTATCAGAAACATCCAGCTGCTCGTATTGGGTTCCCTTTTTAAATGAAAAGCCTCTTGGACTGATAGCACAAATCCTACCATTTCTATTCAATTATGTTACCTATATTAGTTGAATATGGAACCTAGTGATGGAAGTTATCACCAACAGAGTACTAGACAAACAACGCTAATAGCAGTGCATGCTGAATCAGAGACTGATAACCTTACAAAGCTAGGCCATGAAAGCAGTGTGCCACCTGATAATACCTGGACTGGAGATCTCCAAGTAATACCAAGGATTCCAGGTAGAAATAGGAAAGAATAATGCCTGAAACTGTGGAGCACTTCTGCCAATTATAGTGGGCAATGTGGGCTAATAATGGTCTGACTTGATATAAGGCAACTTCCAATCCATTCATTTATATTGATGTCGCAGTTTTTGTTTTCCTACTCTACACGTTTTCAAGCAAAGGGAAGCAGGGGGAGGCTGGACAGCTACCCATATTATTCTTTTTTTTTTCTTTTTTTTTTTTACTAAGGGGCAAGAAAATAAGTTCATTATGCTGATTCCAAGAAACATATTCCAGGGCTTTGCAGCTACAAAACTTCCACTACATTCCTATATGTACATTTACATGTACTTATGGACTAAATATACACTTATCTGGGAGAAAGTCTCACAGATACCAGAGAAAATTACCTGACTATATATATACACAGAATTGTTTTGTACAATGCAAATCTATGCATTTTGAACTGAGGAATATGTTTTGTTAAATTAATAGAGATATTGCCAAACAGAAGGTTTAGGGCTGCAACAAAAAGTAAGTTTCCAACATCTAGCTTTTTGTGATAATCATGACTCTGTATGAAATACTTCTGATTAAATAAAAATGTTAATAACTTCATCATGAATAATTAAATTTCTTTAGCAAATAGCAGCCCACCTTTAAACTGATGGTCTGCACTAAATTTTACAATGTGTGTTCAATCACGGCATAGGCTCAAATAGTTTTGTAATCAAAATTGTAAGGATATATGCATGCACATTACACAACTGCACATGCATCCACACCCTTTTTATCTCAGCAGGTATATCTCCTAAGCTATCTTATGAGGATGACTCATCATTCTTTTCAGCTCGAAAAAAATTCTGTTGCAGAAAAGAGCAAACATACAGATCAATAGAGCAGCCATTAAAAAGAACTAGCTATAACCTGCCTGTCTTCTAGTCTATCTTTTACACAGGAAAGCACCTATCTATATGGTTTTAGCAATTAGATAAATAACTTGAAATAACAACACATGTCAGAATTGCAAATTCAGAAATGGGAGAGAGAAAATGTTCAACTTCTCATTATATTTTGAAAAGTTACAGAATTTGGCGTCACTCCTATTACAGAAATCAGGTTTACTGTCAGTATCCATCTCACTCCAATGACATCACTTTTCTCCGAAACAATTAGATAAATAACCGTAAAGCCACAAAACCTGAACAATACAGGATAGACCAATAAAACTGGCCACCACCCTGCAACTCCACCCTTCCTTTTGTAAATACATAACACTATTGCCATTCATCCTACAGCCGCACTCTAAATGCACCTTGGTTCTGAACCATCACCAGCCTCTGCTTTGCATCCAACATCTCAACATTTAACATTTAAATCCTCTATTTCTCAAACTAAGGGTGATACGAATAGTCCTCATAACATATTTTGAGGGCACAAAGTTAGAAAGCTCAGCTACCAGTTCTTCTTCACATCCACATCTCACTCTACTCCTGAAATATGTGGGTATGTGTATTTGCCTTCAAATCACGTCTCAACTTATAGGGACCCCATGAACTGTATAGGGCATTCCTGGGAAAGGAATACTCAGAGGTGGGTTTACCAGTTCTTTCCTTTGAAACATAACTGGCAGCACCTGTTATTTTTGGTGATCCCCCCATCCAGGTATTTACCAGCACTGACCTTGCTTTAGTTTAAAATAAGATGGGATCTGGCATATTTAGAGTACTTCAAAGCATATTGCCCTTGCTTGCTTTCCCCATGATTGATTTAAATATCGACCTTTTATACTGTACACACACACACAGATAATTATGATTTGTTTTTTTTAATTTTCCTCCCAAAATGTGTGCACCCCTTACAAGAATTAAAGATTCCAACAGCAATGCACTGACGTTTCAATATAAACTTTTATCTGAGGTTTGCAACTCAGAGCTTCAATCATGCAGACATTGCTGTGCAGCGATAACAATTTGTACACTTTACACAAAATTTAAGATGGAATTTTAAAACTCTGGTTCAATCATTTTTAAAGCATTCTCCAATTCCATCTCAAATCACAATTTGTACTCTGATTAATTCATTACTGCAATGTTTATTTTCTCAAGTCTTCAAATAACCGCACATTAGCTGTTGAAGGTATATACATTGTGGGGACACACTGTATATTGTTCTTAACAGACTGATTTTGATTTTATGACTCAGGTCTGTGACTTCCTGGATGAAGTTGATCCACCTGGGATACAGCTTTCCTCTTTTTCTACAGCCTTCCACGTTCCCAAGCCTTTTCTAGTGAGTCCTCTCTGTCCTTTCCGTTTTTTTCTAGTGAGTCCTCTCATAATAAGTTCAAAGTAGGGCAATCTCAGTTTAGTCATCTTGGCTCCAAAAGAAAAAGAGTTCAGGCTTGATTAGGTATGGGACCCATTGATTTTGTCTTTTTAGCCATAGTACGCTTTTCCAGCTCCACAATCAAATTAATTGATTTTCTTAGTGTCAGCATTACTGTATGCATGCATGTGTGCACGGTTCTGTGTGTGCATGCACATGTATATGTGTGCACATAGATGTCTGTGCACGTGTACATATGTGTGTCTACATGCATCATAGATGTGTATGTGTGTACACAGATGTGTGTATACATGTGCATATAGATGTCTATGTATGTGTGTATGTATATACATACACCCTATTTACTTGAATCTAACGCTCACATATTTTTGGCTGTATTACCTTGCTGAAATTAGGGTGCACATTAGGTTCACGTCATAAGGTGATCTTAGTTCTGAGTCAAAGCCAATGGGGAAGCTGCTTCAGGAGCACCTGGAACTCCTATTTAAGGGACATTACAGAATAATAAAAGTTGGGAGAGACCACATGGCCCATCTATTCCAACCCCCTGCCATGCAGGAGAAGAACAATCAAAGTACTCCTGACAGATGACCATCCAGCCACTGTTTAAAATTTTCCAAGGAAGGAGCTTCCACCACACTCTGAGGCAGCGAGTTCCACTGCCAAACAGCTCTTACAGCCAGGAAGTTCTTCCTAATGTTAAGGTGAGATCTCCTTTCCTGTAATTTTAACCCACTGCTCCGAGTCCTTGTTTCCAGGGCAGCAGAAAACAAGTCTGCTCCCTCTTCCTTATGGCATCATTTCACATCTTTTTACATGGCTATCATTTCTCTCTCGAGCTTCTCTTCTGCAGGTGAAACATATCCAGTTCTTAAAGACGCTCTCATTTCATGTCCACGGCTCCATGCTAAGCAAGCCTGGGATTTGTTGTTTGGTGAGTCATCGGCATTCTTCAGCAGAGAAGGCTCAAGGCTTTGTCAAACTACGTACTGCCCCCATGATTTCTTATATATCTGTGTAGCATCTAATGGTTGCCGTCCATGTTGTGAGCCACCCCAAGTCTCCATGGGGAGCAGGAACAGGATACAAAAAAGTTGACTGCTTGATAGCATGGAAGCAAAGCATTCAAAGTGGTTTCATTCTATAGCATGAGATGCATCCCAAGGTATTCTTTTCCACTGGTGGAAGTTCAAACACTTTTGTTCCTTAAGAAGGAATTATTCACAAGCAGCAACTGTATGGGGCAATTTTTATGGCCAAATTAAGAGCGGACTCTTTGTCGCTGTGCATTACATTCAGGAGCACATCCTTTGGGGGAGGGGGTTTCAGGGTTTTGAAAATGGGGGTGCACATTGCATTTGATGATGCTTTAGACTCAAACAAATACGGGTATGTGTGTACATGTGTGTGTGTAAATGTATATATAGATGTAGGTGAACACTATTATTATTTAATTTTACCTCACTTTTGTCCCATGGCTGGGACTCAAAGCAATGTACTACGACCAGCTCAGTACAATATGCCCTTTGATGCACTTTATCCCATCCTTTAGTGAAAATCCCCCCATTGCTTGTCCCATCTGACATTTCCCACTAGACACACTACCCTACTCATCCATTTCACCCAGGGTTTTTATACTTTACTAGCCATCCCCTACCACGCATTCCTTTGGCCCACATGGGGGTTTTGTGTGGGAGGTTTGGCCCAATTCTATCATTGGTGGAGTTCATAATGCTCTGTGATTGTAGGTGAACCATAAATCCCAGCAACTACAACTCCCAAATGACAAAATCAATTTTTTGAGTGAAGGACATACATTGGCTTGTTAAGTGTCTTGTGTCCAAATTTGGTGTCAATTCATCCAGTGGTTTTGGAGTTCTGTTAATCCCACAAACGAACATTACATTTTTATTTATATAGATAATTCTATTCCTTGTAACTAGCCCAGCCCCCTATGCACATTTCTATTATTTTACTTTCATTTCCTGTGTTTAACCTTGTATTAACTTGTTTTGTTTACTTTTATTTGATGTTATTATTTGCTGTATGTATTTGATTTTGATTTGTTGTAATTGTTGGGCTTGGCCACCCCGAGTCCCCTCTGGGAAGATGGTGGTGGGGTATAAATAAAGTATTATTATTATTATTATTATTATGGAGCCCCCGGTGGCAGGCATGTAGCCGGGGGGGGGGGGGGGTCCCCCCCCCCGAAATTCTCATGGTGGTCTGCGAAAAGGCCTTACTGGTACATTATTTAAACTGTTATGTTTATTCATATCATGATCTGATCACCATGCTCAATATATCCCATATGCATGGGGGTATTGGGGTAACGATACCAAAGGTTTGCTAGGGTAGACCCTCTTTCACTCAGACTCAGCCCCCCCCCCCAAATGAAAATCCTATCTTGGAGACTCCGGTGGCGCAGTGGGTTAAACTCTTGTGCCGGCAGGACTGAAGACCGACAGGTCGCAGGTTCGAATCCGGGGAGAGGCGGATGAGCTCCCTCTATCAGCTCCAGCTCCTCATACGGGGACATGAGAGAAGCCTCCCACAAGGATGATAAAAACATCAAATCATCCGGGCGTCCCCTGGGCAACGTCCTTGCAGACGGCCAATTCTCTCACACCAGAAGCGACTTGCAGTTTCTCAAGTCGCTCCTGACACGACAAAAAATAATATTATTATTACAAGCAAAATAACATAACATAAAAATATTTGTTATTTATTTTATTTATTTAGAACTTTTATTTTATATAGCATAGCATAACATAGGATATATGTATATATAGATGTGTGTATGTGTGCGTGCAAGTATACTGATAGATTGACAGATACAGATGTGCATAAGAGAGGCTGTGTGCGTGTTAATGTGTATAGATCAGGAATCCTCCAACTGCGGCCCTCCAGCTGTTTAGGCCTTCAACTCCCTGGATTCCTGACAATTGAACAAGCTCGTTAGGGCTTCTGGGAGTTGGAGGCCCAACCAGCTGGAGGGCCTCAGTTTGAGGATGCCTGGTAGAGATGGATGTGTATGTAGGCCTCTCCTTCCGCCCGCTCCCACAGGGCCTGGCTGGGAGAAAAAGAGCGACTAGGCCCGAAGCCCGCTTGCGTGTCTCCCTCCTCAGCCGGCCTCCCCGCACCTCTTAGCGGCGTCCCGACTCTCTCCAGGAGCTCCGAGGGGCCCCTGAAGGCGAGGGCCTTACCTGGGCCTTGGTGCCCGGCCTGTTCCGCCTCAGCACAGCCGTCCCCTCCGCCATGACCATAGTGACAGCGAGCGGCGCCAGGACCCGGATGCGGCGGCGGCGGCGCGCGGCGGCGGCAAGAGCGACTACCAAGCGGAAGGGAGGATGAGATTGGCGGGAGGGGGGGGGGGCACGCGCCAGAGACGACGACGACGAGGACGTGAGGCGAACTTCCCCCCCGAAGGGAGCCAGGAGGGAGGGAGGGAGAGGCAGAACAGCCGGCGAGGACAGGAAGCCACGCGTCACCGTGACGTCAGGGCGGAGGAGGAGGAGGAGGAGGCGCGCGCTCGGCTCACCCACTCCAAGGGAGGGAGGAAGGGAGGGGGGCGCAGTAGAGCTCCAAAAGGAAGGAGAGTTGGGACGCGGTCGTGACGTCAGCGGAGGAGGAGTGGGAGGGGCTCAGGTGGGATGGCTGGAGTGACAGTTCCTAAGAAGCTCGAAAGGCTTCCCTGGGGAGAGTTAACCGCCCTGACTTGAGCTCTTGAGGCCAGGGTTCGAATCCCGGCTCTGACCATATCTCAAATTATTATTTATTTATTATTTATTTAGAACTTTTATATACCTCAGGCCGGTTCACAACAACAGTATCACAGACAATCGTTTAAAAACATCACCTCCCATAATACCCTAAAACATTAAAATACTAAAATACAATCACATAATTACATTGGCCAAGTTGTCAAAATAAAATCGTAGTTCATCACATTATTGACTCACTCGTCAAATGCCAGTTTCCACAGCCAAGTTTTCAACAGTTTTCTAAAAGTCATTAGAGAAGGGGCAGTTCTAATCTCCACTGGAAGAGAGTTCCAGAGCTGAGGGGCCACCACCGAGAAGGCCCTGTCCCTCGTCCCCACCAGACGTGATTGCGAGGGTGGTGGGACCAAGAGCAGGGCCCCTCCAGAAGATCTTAATAACCTTGATGGTTCATAGGGGAGAATCCGTTCGGACAGGTAAACTGGGCCGGAGTCGTTTAGGGATTTATAGGTCAACACCAGCACTTTGAATTGTGCTCGGAAGCTAATTGGCAGCCAGTGGAGCTGGCGCAACAGAGGAGTAGTATGCTCCCTGTACCCCGCTCCTGTTAGTAATCTGGCTGCCGCTCGTTGGACTAATTGCAGCTTCCGGGCAGTCTTCAGAGGCAACCCCACAGAGAGAGCGTTGCAGTAGTCAAACTCATTTGAGTGTTCTTTCACACAGCCCCAGGCATGTAGCCGGGGGGGGGGGCTTGAGGGGCTTCAGCCCCCCCCCCCGAAATTCTCATGGTGGTTCGTGAAAAGGCCTTGTACCGTGCCAGGAGAGGAAGGGGAGTGCGCCGACAGCCCAGGCGTCAAAGAGGATGCCGCTGCACTACAGACCATTCTGAGGCCGCAATAGACCTTTGTGCCTGTGCATTGAAGTCTCACCACACTCGTGGCTGGGAGTGGAGTGCGTCGAGCCCTTCGGATGTCATACCCAATCCCTGCCTCTATGCACAGTTGGGCACATTGGCTCTATGTGCCAAGTTTAGTCCAAATCCATGACACTGTAAATCATCACCTTCTCCTGAAAAAAATGTACAATATCACAAAGGACTACCACCTCACCCATTTCATAGGAAATCTGCTACAAAACAGGAGCTTTTTTGTTGAGTTCCAGGGCCAGAGAAGCAGATGGCGGAAACAGAAGAACGGCCTGCCTCAGGGGAGCGTGCTTTCTCCATCCATGTTCAACATCTACACAAATGACCAGCCACTGCCAGAAGGGACAGAGAGTTCATCTATGCTGATGATCGTGCCATTACTGCTCAAGCAGGGAGCTTTGAGATGGTAGAACAAAAGCTTTCCGAAGCTCTAGGTGCTCTTACTGCCTATTACAGGGAAAACCAGCTGATCCCCAACCCATCTAAAACACAGACATGTGCCTTTCATCTCAAGAACAGAGAAGCATCCCGAGCTCTGAGGATGATTACCTGGGAAGGAATCCCACTGGAGCATTGCAGCGCACCCAAATACCTGGGAGTCACTCTGGACCGTGCTCTTACCTACAAGAAGCACTGCCTGAACATCAAGCAAAAAGTGGGTGCTAGAAACAATATCATACGAAAGCTGACTGGCACAACCTGGGGATCACAACCAGATACAGTGAAGACATCTGCCCTTGCGCTGTGCTACTCTGCTGCTGAGTATGCATGCCCAGTGTGGAACACATCTCACCACACTAAAACAGTGGATGTGGCTCTTAATGAGAAATGCCGCATTATCACAGGGTGTCTGCGCCCTACACCACTGGAGAAATTACACTGCTTAGCCGGTATTGCACCACCTGACATCCGCCAGGAAGTAGCAGCCAATAGTGAAAGGACCAAGGCAGTGACATCTCCAGCTCATCTCCTGTTTGGGCATCAGCCAGCACGTCAACGACTTAAATCAAGAAATAGTTTTCTAAGATCTACAGAGACACTCGCTGGAACACCTCAGCAAGCGAGAGTCCAAAAGTGGCAGGCTCAAACCCAGAACCTGGCTGATACCAAATGAGAGACTACACCCTGGGCACACAGAAAACTGGGCAACTTGGAAGGCACTGAACAGACTGCGCTCTGGCACCACGAGATGCAGAGCCAACCTTCAGAAATGGGGCTACAAAGTGGAATCCATGACATGCGAGTGTGGAGAGGAGCAAACCACTGACCACCTGCTGCAATGCAACCTGAGCCCTGCCACATGCACAATAGAGGACCTTCTTGCAGCAACACCAGAAGCACTCCAAGTGGCCAGCTACTGGTCAAAGGACATTTCATCAACTACCAAGCTTGCAAACTCTTGTCTTTTGTATGTTTGTGTGTTTGTTCAGTCAAAAATGTAACACAACTGTTCGGTTGCATGACACGATAAATAAATAAACTGTTAAAGTCTTAATAAAGTGTTAATATCCTGTGGGAGGCTTCTCTCATGTCCCCACATGAGAAACTGGAGCTGACAGACATAAGGTCACCCCGCTCCCCGGATCTGTACCCCTGACCTTTCAGTCAGCAGTCCTGCTGGCACAAGGGTTTAACCCATTGCACCACTGGAGGTTCCTTATTCTAGACAAGAGAGGCAATGAGTGACTAAGGTGGGAGCTTTCTTCTCCAGCCAATCCAAACACAGGTGATGTTAGGTTTAGAACCTTAGCAGATGCCTGGACGACCAGCAGTTGGTGCTGTTTTCTAAGCAGGTCATGTTTCTACCTGTCACAGATGTGACATCTGTATTGTAATTGGATTTTGAAAACCTTAAAATCTTTGCCAGTTTGATTGCTACGTTGTGTCCAAATTTCAAAGCAATCGGTGAAGTATTTTAGGAATTATGAGGTCACTCACAAACTGACATTTACGTTTTTATTTATATAGACTAGCTGTACCCTGCTATGCATCACTGTGGCCCTCAGAAAACAGAGGAATTCCAGACATGAAGCAGTAGACAAAACAGATGGACAGATGGAAGGAACATTGATAGCTGGAACTGAAGGTAGAGAGAGAGAGAGAGAGAGAGAGAGAGAGAGGATGGTAGATGGAGTGATTGATGGATGGATGGAAGGACAGGCAGCTTTACGGCCAAAGGGGGTTGGACTGGATGGCCTCTGGGGCTCCTTCCAAGTGGTTGGCCATCTTTCAGGAGGGCTTTGATGGTATCTTTTAATGGAAAATTAGGTAGGACTGGATGGCCTATGGGGCCCCTTCCTATACCCCAAAGGGTTTCATGCACCCATCCTTCCACGTGTAGCATCAAAGGGCCTCTTCCCAGGCGATCCCCCCCCCCCTTCCCCGGCCTCCCTCCGAGCAACGTGTTGCTGGGGCCTAGACTGGTGATATGAAAAATATTTTAAAAGTAAACAACTGAATGTTTTTTTAATTAAAATACTAAAAGTAAAATATTTTTAAGTTATTTCAATGTTTTAAATGACAATGTTATAAAATTAAACAATTAAATATTGGGTTAATAGGTGTCTCGCTGCCAAATTTATTTATTTATTTATTTATTTATTTATTTATTTATTATTGAAAACTTTTATATCCCTATCTTCTCACCTTCGTAGAGGGACTCAGACCGCCTTACAGCAAGGATTCAATGCTACTAATACAAGTTAAAACATCATACAACAATACAAGATTAAAATACATATAGATAAAATACATATATACCAAATCGCCAAGGTAAAATCATGTTCAACTCAGTCCGCATATGTGGTCACTCACTTTGGTCTGTGAAGGTGGTAGGACTGAGAGCAGGACCTCTCTGGAAGATCTTAACGTCCTTGATGGTTCATAGGGAGAATACGTTCAGACAGGTAAACTGGACCGGAACCATATAGGGATTTATAGGTTAAAACCAGCACTTTGAATTGTGCTCGGAAGCTAATTGGCAACCGGTGGAGCTGGTGCAGCAAGGGAGTTGTGCGCTCCCTGTACCCAGCTCCCATCAGTAGCCTGTCTGCCGAGCACTGGACTAATTGCAGCTTCCGGGCAGTCTTCAGAGGCAACCCCACGTAGAGAGTGTTGCAGTAATCTATACGGGATGTAACCAGAACGTGGGCCACCGTGGCCAAGTCAGACTTCCCAAGGTACAGGCGCAGCTGGCACACAAGTTTTAACTGTGCAAAAGCTCTCCCGGCTACCACTGAGACCTGGGGTTCCAGGCTCAGCGATGTGTCCAGGATCACCACCAAGCTGCAAACCTGTGCCTTCAGGGAGAGTGTAACCCCATCAAGCACAGGCTGTAATCCTATACCCTGTTCGGCCTTACGACTGACCAGGAGTACCCCTGTCTTGTCTGGATTTAGTTTCAATCTGTTGTCCCTCATCCAGTCCGTCACAGCGGCCAAGCACCGGTTCAGGACTTGAACAGCCTCCTTAGTAGCAGGTGGGAAGGAGTGACAGAGTTGGACAACATCTGCGTACAGATGACACCGTACCCCGAAACTCCAGATGCTCTCCCCCAACGGCTTCATGTATAGGTTGAATAACATAGGGGACAGTACTGAACCCTGCGGGACCCCACAGTACAATGGCCGTGGGGCCGAGCAGGAGTCCCCTAATGACACCTTCTGGGAGTGACCCTCGAGGAAGGACTGGAGCCACTGCAAGGCAGTACCCCCAAGGCCCATTCCTGCGAGGCGTCTCAGAAGGATACTGTGGTTGACAGTATCAACATTTGATGTCAAATCCTTCAGTGGTTTTTGAGTTATGTTAATCCCACAAACGAACATTGCATATTTAATTATATAGATTATCTGGCAGTGTAGACTCAT